GATCGCGTTACTTGATCGTGGGTACACTGTCGAACGGTCACCTTGAATTTCCATCGATGTTGCACGAGTGTTGCTCGAACTTGTTCCGCGAACGTTCTTCGACCTTCGATTAGCCTTCTGATCCTGATTGCGCGCCTCCTTCAAGGAGGTGATCTCCTCTTGCAGACGTTGCATCTGAGCACTCATCACGGATTCCCACTGGTCATTCAGGCTCTTCTGCAGGTTGGTTGCCCAAGACTCTTTTGCCTTCTCGGCCTCCGTTTCGCGTCGCTGCCAGCGCTCTTCGAACTGGGTTTCCGCGGCCTTCAGCGCGCGAGCGACTTCGTGACATCATTCGACGCAGTTTCGGCAACTCTCGTCAACACATGAACTGGAACAGTTGGCGCTTCAGCATTCGGGATGGTTGCGCTCTGGAAGACTCCAGGACGAGCTGCTAGCATCTGAATTGCTTGGAAAGCCTGATCGACACGCTGATTAAGCTGGGCCTGAGTGGTGTCTTGCTTCGACTCCATTCGGGCCAACATGTCTTGCGTCGATCTCATGGCATTCAGGGCAACCTGAGACGCCCCTGACGTAGCTGAGTAGTGCGACCTTCCTGAGCGGTTCGTTATTTCTGACTTGGTCGACCGACTTGGCGACCGTCTGGATGACCGTCTCGAATGTCTCGAATGCCGGCGCTTCGGAGCGTCGTCGCTGGACTCCGCCCCCCCGAAGAATCCTCACTCGGGCTCGACTTCCGTCTATGAGCATACTTCCGAGATGTCCTCGACCTGTTATCACTCCGAATGATGGCCCGCCCCGACTCCGACATAACGACATCGTCAGGGTTGGCTGGCATCGGTGACACCGGGAGGACAGCCTCATCTACTTGAACACTCAGGCTAACTTCCGGTTGGGCGACTCCTCCTTGAGCAGCGAACACCATTCCCGCCGGGAGGGCATGTGCGAACTTCATGTGCTGTGCGGTACCCCCAGTCATGGACCACATCGAGGACGCCGAGGATGAACCATTCCCAGATGACTGGGATTCGAGCGTCCCAGAGAGGTTCGACTCGTCTGAACCTGTGGCCGTAGCTCCGAACAGCGTTGACCTATACCCCGAACTTGGCATCGGATTTCCACTTCGGGTTGCCGACATGTCGCTCGGAGTAGCCATGCTCCGATCATCCTGAGTCGACGTCCGGTAGGACATCAGCGAACTCATCGACGGAATGGACGACGGCCGTGGAGTTGGCGCTTCGATTCAGGTTCTCCAAGTGATGAACTCGCAGGACTGCGATACACCCGGACTCCAGCTTTCTTCCAGCGCGTGAGACACTCACGTCCAAGTAGCTCCGCCTCGTAACTCGACATCAATGAATAACCTTCAGCATCTTCCGGTTTTACCTCCTCCAAATGGTCATTCAGGTTGCGTGCATCCAATGGAGACACAACTCGACATTGCGCCCCCGAAGTGACTTGTTGCCATTCCAGGAGCTCCACAGTCAAGAAGTGCTGCAACTCCTCAGCCACCCTTCGCATCACATCAACTTCAGCCTTGGGCGCGGATACTCGAAACCACTCTGGAACCAGGTTACGGAACTTGAACCCGACCTCGAAGAACATCGTCTGCAGGACTGCAGCGCACTCTCGCATAGACAGCTCGTTCAGGGGCACTGTCACCGAGGTGAGATCAGTAGCCATGTTTGGCGCCAATCTGACGAGCCTCCATTCGAAGATCCAAGACTGCGCTCGGGCTCCCGATGACATCCGCGACGCCAAATACTCTGACATTGCCATAACGGTTCCATACCACGCCTGAAAATTGGGTGCGGGATGAGGCCAGGCGTACTCGATCATTGGGGACATCACGAATTCCAGGGAGACTTGTTCCCATCGACGCACTTGATCATCCACGTACAGCTTCACCTGATTCGGGGTCTCCGGATCCTCAGACGTCCCAGCATCGTCCACTGCGGTCAGATAGACGTTTCTTGGGCCGAGCTTGGAGTCTGCATCCGGGATGCTGCTTCCTCACTCGACACTTGCACGCACGAGCTTGAAGACACTGACATCTCGAGCCTCGACTGCGAGTCGTCTCTCAGGATGTCCGACGCGGCTTCCTCCTTGACGGTGGATAGCGGACCTTCTAGCTTGAGCGTGGGCGTCTCATCCGGAATCACTTTCTCCTCCAGGACATCGACCTCGATCACATCATGACCCAGCTGAGACCTCTCCGAAGTCCCGTCCACAACTGGGGACTCAACCTTGATGTCGCCTCCCACAGACGCCTGCTCGGGCACATCCGGACCGGACACACCCAAAACCTCCACACTCGAGTCCGAGTTGGAGTCTGCTCCAG